CATCCTTTTGATTTTTCGTGTGTATTAGCCCAAGCCCATGGATCTAGCGCCTTAGAGCATCAATTTTTTTTCCTGAAAAAGTTTTATGAGGACTTCCGTAATGAGTTGGGGAAGAATTACGTATAACCCCACCATTTTTTAAGGCATATTTTCGCATTTATGAGCCAACTTTTAGGAATTACACGACTTTCTTAGTTTTTCGTGTGCTAATACCCATGGATCTAGCATCTTGGAGAACCCAAAAAAAAATCGGAAAAAACTTCATGAGGACTTTTGTAATGAGTTGGGGAAACATTACGTATAGTCCCATCATTTTTAAGGCATATATTTGCATTTACGAGTCAACATTTAAGAATTACATGACTTTCTTAATTTTTCGTGTATAATGGCACGTAAATACATAATTGATAAAAGTCTTACAAAAAGTGAAGACTAATTATACACACGCAAAGACCCCACACACACACACATACATATATATATATATATATATATATAATTAAATGATTTATAATTAAGCAGAGGAGAAATTCGATATCTTCATTAAGTGAATTACTTTGTAGTATATACTAGTATATATACTAGTATTAAAGCATCTTCATGGTTGTGTCTTTCATTTGCTAGAAAATCGATATATTAATTTGTCTCTCTCAAATGTGTCTAATTATGATATTATACGTAACTTATATTGTACAAATCAAATAGATCTAAATAATTTATACCAAAAATTATAAATTAATCAATGAAGATAAAAATCAATATTCTGGTATTAAACCAAAAAAAAAAAAAATCAAAACATAAAAGGTCGATTTTATTTGAACCATGAAAACCCCTACTCATACATATATATTTGATAATACATTTAATATAAGTTAAACCCTTCATGAAATACTTGAAAAAATGATTTTTAAAGCAAAAAAAATACCAATTTCGTGACAGCATTTTCTTTGGAATTTATTTTAAAAAGAATTACTCTTTTATTAAATTTTAAAAATTAGCTTACATTTCTTTTCTTTTTCTATAATGACATGCTTTAATAATTATAAAAATATTATGTCTTTTTCTTTCGTGCATAAACTTTATGTCCTATCAAATACTCCACGAAAAAAGATGGTACCAAAGATAAAAGACAAATCTAGTAACTGATTTTCGTTAAACAATTATATATAAATTATTAAATTTCTTTAATATAAAAATATATTCTAATAATATTCATAATAAAGGCAATTTGAAAATTATTTTAGATCACACGTTTAAAACTTGATACTTATAACTCAATTATGATAGTTTTTTTATAAAAAAATCTGATATAAATTTTTGATTCGACCATTATCATGATTTATTTTTTTATAAGATTTTATAATACGTGTCACCACCTCCTATCTAGTTGGTTTCCCAAAATTTGGACACATCCTAAAATATACTTTCTTGTAAGAAATTGATTTCTCATTATTAATATCTATATATTTGTATTTCTGTTAAACAAGAAAACTACTAGAAATGACCAAAAGTATACCATTGAAAACTAAAAGACTCATTCTATACTTCCTCTAAAAAAAAAAAAAAAAAAGTTTAAAAGTTAGAAATACAAAAAGGTCAAGAAAAAACACAAAGGTTGCATCGATGCACTGAATGAAGTCGTTCCTTTTTTTAAATCAAATATTTTGAATTCGAGTCTTAAATACAAAAAATTATTTAATAGGAAATGTATTTCCTTTTTAATAGAAGTTTATGTGACGTGAATCTAAATTAATCAAACTTTAATACAGATATTAATGACATCGAATAGAAAAGAAAGTAAGAAGGTCAAGAAAGATGGGCATTTAAAAGAGGGGTCTTTGGATACATGAATGAAAAAAGATAAATTTATTATATTATGGCACTATATAATATATACATTTTTTTAATTTGTTAGCATGTGGAGGAAAGGTAATAGGAAGGTACTTGATTAATAAATATTGAGGATTTCTTTTGTAGGGAAGATAGGGAGGAAACTAAACTTGTGGGGTCAAAATTCCATATTCATCCTCTAGAAAAATAGTCAAAAATTACGTCTAGACTTTATATTTCTTTATTTTTTTTTATTTCTTTGAGTAACATGATTTGATTCATTGTCTTCATTCAAGAGTGAGTCAATCTCAACAAACATGTTGTACTATTTTTTTTTCGATATCTATGTTTGAGTCTCATTAAATTTAAATTTATGTCGAAAAAACTTCTATGATAACATGAAATATACGTTCTTTACAAAAAAAAAAAATTCATTATTTAAAATTGGATTTCAAAATTATACTTTATCACTCTGCGATAACCTTAGTTTGTTTCTTGTTCTTCTTAAAGAACATACTACTAAACATTATTTGTGATTTTTCATAGTTGAAAAAAGAAAATTATATAGATCACTACTCTAGATTTTTTAGAAATGAATTATCACGTCATGTAACAATTTTAAACTTGTATGTATCTCTTTTAAGAATATATTTTTAAAATACGATTTTTCAATTTTAATTTTAATTATTTTCTTAGAAATGCTTTTTAAACATGTAGTACTTGTGAAAGTTAAATATTCAAGAAGAATTAATCTAAATAGTCATCTACTTAATCGCTTAAATTATAAATAAACAACCGATCCCGATATATTATCATATATTAATAATAATGTTCCTTTTTCTCATTATAAGTCTCTCTCTTTGCTAATTAGAGTGGGATTTAACACTTAACAACCTTCCTTACCTTTACCAACTCCACCTAAATTATCATACTAGCACATTAAATCACCAAAATAAATATGTGCCATAATATATACATACATCCACTTAATAATATATTTTATATTTGTGATAAGATGAGGTGTTTGGAGGACAATTGCTTTGTAAAGGCAATAAGTGGGATCCACTCTGGCTTTTCTCATAAAAATAAAATCACCAACTTTCTGTTGAAAAAAATATATTGTTTTTTACTACTTTTATTGCATTGTTAAGTTCTTAGTGCTAAATCAAGTATTATGGGATACTTAAGGCTCTAATTAAAGAGACGTGTAATTTGAACAACCAAATGTTTCACATCTACAAACTCTTGTACTAAGCAAGTCTTGAAATCTTACTTATTTTATAAATATAATTTTATATTATTATAAAATAAACTTTTAAGTTAAAGTAGACATTTGGATATGAATGGAATAATATGTGGAAAAAAAAATGGTATTTGACGTCACGTAATTGGAACATATTTTACATTTTTTTAAAATTAAAAACTCATTTAGGGTTTTTCTATTTATCCCAAATTGTTTCAACTAGTAGAGTGATAATCAAGCGAACTATTTAACCAGGAAAAAAAAAAGTAGTATCTAGTTTTATACTCGTATAATAAAACTACAAAATTTATGTATTTATATAAAAAAATATTAAAAGACAAATAATATGAACCGAATAGAGTATGATTAAATGCACTTAGTATGTGTGTCTACATCATTTGTTGATGCTTATCCACCAATCTCCCATAGCAACAACCAAAATCTCTACAAAATGTGTCCCTACCTAAAATCACTCAACCCCCACTTGTTTTTCCCTTGTAATAAGGGGTATTCAAAGCCCCTACCAAACTAACAATCAACAAGATCTTTCCCACTTTAT